TCCCAGTCCACCACTACCAACCGCTGGAATGGACACTGACACCAAGCCTAAGGAATCGACTTCTTTGACAGCTTTCTCCACGCATGTTTGAAGATGCTGTTTCGTTCCAGATCCCGCAACCATATGCACGATCTGTTTTGCAGACAAGCGTCCAGCAGAAGTGGTCACAACAGATCCTGGACGCCGAGGAGCTTTCGACTTTAACTCCTCTTCGACTGTGCTACCACAGGCTGTAGAGATGACTTTGCTTAAATTTCCACTGCTCATGTCAAGATTACAGATTGCATCGGAGCTTTTCTTGGTGATGTCTCGATGTCACAACCTTTAACTCGATGTTTCCTATGCGAATTGCTTTGCATCTGAAATCGGATGTAATAGGAATTGGTTTGTTCTTACGAGCTTCTCGCTTTCAAGGGCTTCAGCACTGGCATATGTTCCTTCTTGAACTCTTTAAACGTCTCTTCGAAAGCTGTAATTCCTTTCTGATCCCCACTGAACACTACAACTCGGAACTCCTGTAAGGGTGACTCTGGATTTGCCTGACTGTAATCAACAACTGCCTGAATCATAATGTGGATGGTGGTTTTGTATGGGAAACCAAGGTTACCTGTTCCTACAAGTAGTAAAGCAATTGAGTGAGCACCCAATTCGGACGCCTTGTCAAAGCACTTTTGAAACAGTTCCCTTAGAATCTGCGGATGAAAACAACAAATGACATTAAGGAATAAGGCCTTGATATTCATCTAGCAAGCTCCAGGCTGCTTTTCACTTATCTATTTCTGGTAGGTAATCTAAGGGTGCGTTACTTTGGGATCATCCGGATGAGGATCAATGATCGAGATCACTCGGATCAGGGTGCATCAAAGGAACCGATGCATCCTTCCCCAGAGAGGATTCGTCGGCTCCAACATTATCGGAGTGATCTCACATCATTAATCCTGATCCAGATGATCGCAAAGGAACGCACTTTGAGTCTTGGAATTGTCTCAACAATACACAATGTTCCGTGCTTTAAGCCTGGAGTCCTTGTCATTCAGTTTCTAAAACCAACCTCGCCATTTTTAGAAGACCTATGCTCAAACTAAAACTGCAACCAAGTTTTACGACGCTGGGAATAAAATGATCTCAATTGGCACGAGAATATCCTTATCCTAACCTCTTCTTGCTCAGTATCTCCTTTCCATGGGCAACATACACAGTGAATAACGTGACGGCAGCACAAATTTCCGCCAACCGTGTGAACAATGTCTCCTTCACCCATGTCAGCTGTCGTCTCTTTCAACTTCCTTAACTCTTCCCGTAACGTTGGACCAGCAGCTTTGCTCATGGCATTTAATCGCACCAATGTCAAGATTGAACTTTGACCCCACAGAACATACTAACACGTCAGCCTAGAGCGAAATTAAGAGACAACACAAAGTTCATTATTAACTTGAAGTTGATAAAGAGAAAAGCTGATGTTTCTATCTTTCCCCTTTCATCGGAACAAATGTTTTACTTGCCCAACGAAACAGTAACTCAGTTTTTTTTTACAGAAATTTTATCTCTCTATCCACATCACAGTTGTGTAAATTAGATTTAAAAGTTTTTAAGGAAAACGACCAATTTTTTAAGTTTAAAAGACATGTTTCGACAGAACTTCTGTCATCT